TGAACTTCCAGAGCTTTTGTCTGTATCTCACAGGCTTCTTCAGAATAAAGCTTAGGTCTTTGGTCACATGATAATTTGTGTTTGACCATGAGAAGCATTTGAAGCTTCAGATAAACAAGGTGAAGAGCTCTGGTCGCACTGGATTTGAATCTTTGAATCTTGTGGCAGTTGGAGTCAGTCGTTCAGGAACAGACTCACAGCAGGAAAACGCTGGACAACGTCTGGCCTCAGATAAGCTACACAGCTCAGTTACCTCTCATCACTACGCAATACAGCTGCTGCACTGCACAGCACAGCACCACCGGGGGGCGCTCTGATCCACCCACTCAGATCCAGAGATCTCCGTCAGTCTTCTCAGATATTTTTATAAAAGCATGTCTTTATTGTTCTTCAGATTTTTGTGGAAACACTTTTTTGCTCTGACAATGTGTGAAGACGAGTCAACATCTGATCAACTATGTTATACGTTAATGATGCATCAGCTTCTGCACAGAGACAAACTACAAGTCAAACACAAGCTACACATTAGAGCCGTGCTAACAATTATCTTCACTATGATAATAATAATATTTGATTTGTCATTTATGGATCCTTCAGTCCTAAACCCAAAACCTTTCGGTTTAAAAGTGTTAAGTCATAGAATTAGTTGCTAATCAATTTCCGATTCATCGTCTAAACAAAAACTGAGGGACGTTATGCTAACCATAGTGCACACGCTAACAGACTCATCACATACAGATTGTATTCCAGTGGTTCAAAGCTGTTTTTACTGTTCCAGCTGTTTGTAGCTGTTTCATCCAGCACTGCTAACATAGTTAGCATCTGGAGCTACTTTACTCATTTCTTAGCTGTTGTTGAAACATTGCTGCTTCAATGTCCCGCAGACAAAGGACATACAGAAAATTTACATCACTGGTTCACAGCTGTTGAATATCACGCACATCATTGACCTGCATTACGAAGCTAATGTATTAATATTGCCAATGTTTATTTTGTTCTGAAAAACACGCAGAAAACCAAACAAGTTAACAATTTTCTTATCATGTATAAACTGTTCCAGTGTTTAGGCTGTTGTAGCGAGCTGCCCACACCATCCATGGCTTTGCTCTTGTATATATCCATTTAATCTGTGCGTGCAGTACAAGACAGTTCCAGGACATGTTAACCTAGCTTAGCACAAAGACTAGAATGTTGGGCTAACTGTTAGCCTAGCTACAAGAAAGGCGAAAACATCCATCCTCCAATATTTGCAGTAGTAATGTCTTCACATGGCTAATGTTAGTTTGATAGCTAACAGACAGTTAGCTTTTACCACAAGAATACAATCTACATACGATGATACATGTTTAATATTGCTTTTAACTGCAATAATTATTTCCATTATAGATGAATCTGTTCATCAATGGGTCCTTTAAATTGTTAAACAAAGATCGCATTTCAGACGTGTTTTAAAAAGGATGAATTGATGAAGCTGGAGCCTTTTCATAAAATGGTCATGAATGATTATTGATTATCAATATAGTATTTTTCCTTTGATCACCAAATGAATGAGCTAATGGTTTCAGCTCAAGTAGTTTTTGACGCCGACACTTAACGTGCAGTAGAGCTGATGCATCTTTGACTGACAGCTGTGATCAGGTAGCGACAGGACGAAGAGCCAGACCCAGTCAGACCAGATGGATGTAGTAGCCAGGTCACGGAACTGGACTTAAAAACCTTCCAGAGGTCAAAGTTCATCTTCTGGAGGGTGGAGGCAGGTCCCCTGGCAACCAAAGGAAAGATGGCGTGGTCCTCAAACGCCAAAACAACTTCAGCACTTATCAGAGAGACGGGGTCAGAAAGAAACTTTTTATAAAAACAGAACAATTTCAAATGTACACATATTATCAGACAAACATATTTAAACTATGTAAACACAAGGAGTTGATTCAGACGCAAGTCGGCAGGTAGCACATGGACCGGCTGTTACTGTTTTTCTAGAGCTGTGAATCACATTCTTTTTTTATGCAAGTGAAGCAGCAGCTCCTGGCGGGACTCGAGTTTTCCTCCCTGATTACCGCGCTCACTATTCAGGCTAAAGCAGGAACTATCAGGTACACAGACTCTTTTCCTTCAGTCTGCTAATCGGACATTTACCTTCCCTATATAGCAAAATGCTAACGGCTAAACCTCAGTAATGAGGAATTTAAACTAACCTGTTAATAAACAAACAGTCGCAGGTCAGAAAAAAGAACCGGAGGACGACAAACCGAGCTGAGCAACATGGACCAAAAATCAGCTGATGTGAAAACCACAAGACCTCGTTTTAACTTTTAACGTACATTAACTTTCAGTTTTAAAAAAACGTACATGTTGTAATGTCAAACGTTTGCATGTACAGTTGAAATAAAGTTGTAGAAACAGGAAAATGAACTTGGGCCAATTAGATTCATCAAACAAAAATATCAGTGAAAATCAAGTGAGCGACATTTTACTGCAGTGAAATCAGGACGGATTCTTCTGGACGTTTGAATCCAGTTTGTGCTTCAAGTCTTTCTAAGTTATTATTAGTTATTGTTTCGGATGAACTGAAGTCATGTGTGAACATTGAGATGTAAAAGTAAAACTTTTGGGGTTGAACTTTATATGTACATAAAATATAATTTTATTACATTATTACAGTTCATTTGACCTCGTTGCTCTTCAGTCTAAAATCATCTTAAACTGTGCGTTAGCCTGAACTACTTTGAATTTAATGACTTGTAAATGCCCACATTGTTTACTTTGATTTATTAAGGTCGACTATGAACTTCTGGTTTGACCAGGTCCTGGTTCAGACTTTGATTTTATGAAGTCTCCTCTTTAAAAGATGTAGTGGTGGAGGTTAGCTTCAAGTTAGCTTACACTTCACATACGGTTAACTTACAGTTACCTTATAGTGAACTCACAGCGAATTAACAGTTTAGTAGTTTTTATTTTCACTTTACAAAAAAGAAAATCGCATAAAGTTTTGCCCTAAAAATATGTTAAAGATCGACATGTTGCTCAGCTCCAACTTAAATTGTTCGTCCAGGAATAAATTCAGTCAGTAAATCGATCGTCCTGATGCAGATAATCATTCACTTCTTATTTTGGTCATCGGTAATTAGTCCGTTAGAAACAGCTGCCTCAGTTTCTACATTTCTTATTCTGTTTTTTTTGGATTAAATTAAGAAAGAAACTGTTGATATTTCCAACTTCATTTTCACTTTTTTCAAATAAACAAGTTACCAGGTTATTAAAACTAAACCGGTCTGAACTGGTTTGAAAAGGGTTAAAAATGGGCGAACCTTCCTCCTCACTGCACAGAGGTGTCGTCAACCAGATTGGTTCAGTCCGATCCAGTTTGGTTCGGTTAACTCTGGTCTAGTCTGGTTCAGTCTAGTCTGGATCAGTTTGGTTCGGTTCAGTCCAGTCCAGTTTAGTCTGATTCAATCCGTTCCAGTCTGGTTTGGTTTAGTTCCAGTGTAGTTTGGTCTGGTTCAGTCCGGTTCAGTCTGGTTGGAGGGATCTATAAAACAGGAGTAATCGGGTCGTGGTTAACGAAGTGGACCGGTTGAACTTAAGAGTCGTGTTTCAAATGAACAGACTCATTTTTAAAATAAATGATCAAAGATCAGAAAACTGTCGATGAATCAACAACAAACTGGTGTTTGATTGTTTCTAAGAATCATCAGATTCAACTTTACAGAATCTGATCAGATCAAGTGACTCAGGATCCGACTTCTCTTCCATTGTTCTTCAGTTTCATCTTCAAACTGTGAAAACGGCTCAACCTCATCATCTTCATCATCCTCTGGTCTTCATCGTGTATTTGAGTCGGTCGAGGCTCCGTCATCGACATCGTTCGCTTTAAATGCCAAATGTTGGTTTCGTGTTTTTTTACTTTTGACTGTTTCTGAATATCCACAACACGTCTGATGATACTTTACTGTCACCGTGTATCTAATATATCCGAGCAGAAGATGGTTTTAGTAAAAGAACTTTTAATACTGTACTTTTTAAAGAGGATGTACTAAACGTGTTCGGAAGCTTTGATGTGAAGAACTTTTCTGTTGCATGTGTCTGGTGGAGGGGGGGTGGGGCAAAGGTTGATGATAGTTAGAAAATGTGAAGAAGCTTCTGTTACTATGACCACTATCAATCTATAGATCACTCACAGGTCGCTTCTCCTTCACAGGAAATAAAGCACTTTACGTGTCAAACTGCAGCGACTCACGTTATTTACACGCTAACTTACGAAGAAACCAACAGTTGATTATTAACGTCTTTGAGAAAGTCAGAAAAATATGAAACATTCAACAGTTTATTTAACCAAGTAAATGAGCTTTTAGCTTGGTTTGTGAAAATGTGTGTATTTATATATATACATACATATATATATAAATACACACATTTGCTGTGTTGTTTTAGCTGTGGTATCTGATATCAGTGATAATCTAAAAACTCCAGCGCAGCACGTAGCACATTGAAAATATGGAGAAGTGGTGCCACCTTGTGGAGAGATTAAAGTTAAGCACCACACAATCGACTCAATCAACAAGATGTGACAGTTGTCATTGAAACAATGAATTCATGTGAAGCTGAAACAGTAAAATGTCAGTTTAGTTGAATGTATAGATTTTTTTGTTTTCTATAAATGAATGTGTGACAGGAAGTGAGTGTTTGGTGGAGACACACAACCATAGTCGTATTTTTAGTTTTACAGTGAAACCTTTAACAACCAGAGGAGCATCAGCAGCCTCACAGACTTAATGTTAACTAAAGTGTGTGATATCAGTCATTTCCACATGATCTACACAAATATTCAGCTCCTCTCTGTTAAATGTTTATCTACACACAATCCAATCTGTTCTTTCACACATTCATATGATGCAGCTGTTTATAGAGATCTGTTCGTGATGTTTTTACAACATATCAGTATTTGCTGGTTTGTAAAACAGAAACTTCGATTTGCGTTTGTATGAAAGCAGTTTTTATTGGTTGCAGGGGTCGGCCACTCTGCCGATGAACAGCATTGTGTTAATGGTCGATTCTCTGATGAGCAGCAGGAAAGGTCGGTTGGCCAGAAAAACCTCAACGTTAAAATTGAGGGAGCGTCCGACTGCCACCACGGCCGTGGCTGCCGCCGCCTCACTGCCCTCCTCTTTTACCTACAAGCCAAAGAACAGGTTTGTTAAGAGCCTGTCTGAGCTGGAGACTCCCTGTGGAGTACAGAGAATCACACTCCCTGTGACTGGGATCGAACTGCCGAACTTCTGGTTGGAGGTTGAAGGACGATCGCTCCACCCCACAGCCACCAGTACCACCCTCCCATTGCAGTACCACACACTCCCTCAGACACCCATAACGAGGGCGGGACAATTTTATCAGTCATCAGTACACCTGGCATTCTATTGGTTGGAGAATTTTGACAGATGTCAAAAGTGCACGCAACTAGAGTGAGTACATGACCAAGAAGTTTAAGTGTGAGCACAGGGTTTACAGGGAAACACAGACACTGTTAATGGATTCAATGATGCAGTCTCCTTTCTTACAAAGTTAAATAAAATTGAAAAAAAACCGAGAGCCAATCAGCGTGTCGGTAACGAACCTCCAGGAAAGCTTTGTGGTAGGCTTCTGAGATGTAGACGGTGTCACTGCCGTCCTCCAGGATTCCTGAAACAAACACAAACTCACCTGTAAAACCTCGTCTCATGTTTTCATCTATTAAGTCACACCTGGATTCAAATGTGTTTCACACACAAATGATCTATTTTTAACGTGATTACATTTACACCTGATATTTGCATTTACACATTTTTGCTCATGTCATCATTTTTCGTAACGATGCAGTTCTTTTCCACGTGACAGCGTGTCCATGACCAGGCGGTTGTGCTCATCTGATCTCCTGAACTGTCATGTGGTTACCTGCTCCTGATATAGTATTTATAAAGTAAAGTATTTATGTATAAAGAGCCCATTTTAGGTCAAAGAAAACCATTTATACAATTTAGATGAAACACACAAGTGAAAACAGCACTAGGATTATTTCATATTCTGCCAATAAATCTATTTCACCTAAATCATAAACACTGGAGCTTTAATGTTAATGTGTTGCTGCAGTGTGAAGAGGTATTTGATATGAGGTTTGTGGACATGAGAGGGTGAAGCACCTGGCAGGCTGGACTTCTCTGAGCTGAACAGGTCAGTCAGTCCCATCGCCTGCAGCTTCTCCTTCAGAGCAAAACTGTCCTCTACCCTGAACCGAGGGACGTGGACGGACACCGAGGTTTCCTCCATCTCATTCAACCAGCTGTTCAGTTTCATCAGGTCCAGACTCTCCTCCACCTTGACACAAAAACAAACATCCACAAAACGTACATGTGGTCATTCACTACTTTACTCTTCATGTGCATTTTGAAATTGACTTTGTCTACATGCTGCCGCAGAGCAGAAGAAGAGGAAAAGGAAAAATATATTTATGTGTTAGGGTTAGGTATATGTTCTGTTCAGGGCACTGACACCAATAATCAATAATCAGTATTACCTGGCTGAGCGCTGTGTCCTTGCATGGAAGAATGATCACCATGGTGATGTCGTCTCCAAGATACGGCATCTCCAGAAGCTGCACATGGTCGTCGGGGAAGTGTCTGTACCTGAACTTGGTTTCCTGGAACATCATACTGACGGAGCAGCTGCGACTCTCACTGACGTGGAAATCTGCGGCGAACACCTTGTCTTTGTCAAACTTGTTCTTCCACTGACCCTGAAAGGTAGAAACAACAGCACTGTGTGTGCACGTCGATGTCTTGACTGTAAATATCTGAGCAGGTCCCACAAGTTAAATTCAGCTCAGATTTTTTAAAGGTTTTAAAGGATTTTCACTCTATTCCTTTTTCTGTCTATCTCACAAATGTATTTTCTCTCCAGGTGTGAACTTGGGGGACAGAGAAGGCCAAGTCAGACGTTTACTGTCTGCTACCTTGAAGTAGATGTTGTTGACAAGGACCAGGATGGTGTTGGAGTCCAGTGACCCCAGTGGCAGCGTGTCCTGGATCTTGTTCTCCGTCTTGTTGGCGATCCAGTTGTTGATGGTGGCCCGGGCCTCCTCCGGGTTCTCCTGCAGTACAGAACCGGGGTTACCAGGGTAACCGAGTGTGGATACGTAGATGTGTTGGACGAAACTTTACCTTGAAGTTGAGCGGCAGCAGTTTGGCTCCATACACCATCTCAATAATGTTCTGATACGTCTCGTTGAAGACCAGAGACTTGTCTCCAAACAGTCTGTTAGCAGAGATCAGCTGGGTGGTCTCGTCCTTCTTTCTGTACAGACGACAGTTGAGTTTGGCGAAGAAGAAGTGGACCTGATCTGACGTCTTTTCTTTGATGGTGTCAAACTTAAACACCTGGAGTTCGATGGACACAGAAAAGCCATCAACACTGGGTCCTCAGGAAACAGGTGAAGACAAGAGGAGGTAAAGACAAGAGGAGGTGAAGACAAGACGAGGTGAAGAGGTAAAGACAAGAGGAGGTGAAGAGGTAAAGACAAGAGGAGGTGAAGAGGTAAAGACAAGAGGAGGTGAAGTGGTAAAGACAAGAGGAGGTGAAGAGATAAAGAGGTAAAGAGGAGGAGATGAGACGCCCCCCCCATCCATATTAATATTAATAAAACTCATGGAGGTGGAGGAGGAGGAGGAGGAGGAGGAGGAGGAGGAGGAGGTGGAGGAGGAGGAGGAGGAGGAGTCGCCGCCGCAGCAGCAATGTTTAAATCGGTTCTATCCATCGACCCTTCACATGAAGGTGTTTCTAACTCGTACATCAGGTTCATCTAGTTTTCATCATAACTGACTGAGCTTCTATCTGAGCTCTTCTAAGAACAGATCTCAGGTCAGATTGAGTCTTTATAATAATGTCAAGGGTTCCGGACACTTGATGATGTCACAGGAGCAGTATGGAGCATGTTTAGTTTCATAAGTTTGAAGAATCAGTCTCTGGTTACTTCACCCCCCCCCTCCATCATACTTATATACCAGTTTAAGATTAAACTTAAAACGTTCCTCTTTGTTAGTCTATAGTTCTGGATCCGGTCCTGAACCATCTCTTGGTTATGTTGCTATAGGTCCAGACTGCTGGAGGAACTCCCATCATGCACTGAGTCTCACCTTCATGATCTGCTGCAGTGTGTCGTTGCAGGCACCCAGTTTGGTCATAGCGAATGCAGTGGAGATGCTGATGGGGGACATGAAGATGTTGGACTCGGGGGTCTTGCCGATAGCGAGCTGCTTGTACAGTGACAGGGCAAAGCGGCTGTTGGCCTTCGACAGTTCCCACACTCGGGGGTTTGTGGACTCAGGGACCTGCTCGGGCTCCGAGGTCGTGCCCTCGGGGTCGGGGATTCGGTAGATGCATCGTGGCTCCAGAGCCAGGTCTCTGGGTTTGGCTCCACAGATGTCTGGACGGAAGGCGTGAGAGACGAGCGGCAGGAATGCCACAACCAACAGCCAATCAGCAGCCCTCATCCTGGGTTAGGGTTAGAATGACAGTAGCACACACACATTTCTACTTCTATCTTAGTGAGGACACTCATTGGCATTCCCTTACCCTTAACCCTAACTCTAATTTAAACCCAACTCCAACCCTAAAACCAAGTCTTAGCCCTAACTCTAACCTAAACCTGACCCTAACTCTAACCCTTAACCTAATTCTAAATCTAATCTAAACCTAATTCTAAATCTAATCTAAACCTAATTCTAAATCTAATCTAAACCTAATTCAATTCAATTCAATTTGTATAGCGCCAAATCATAATATACATGATCTCAAGGCTCTTCACAGAGAAGGTCAGGACCTTAAAATGAAAATGTAGAGAAACCAACAGGTGAACAATGAGCAGCACTTTGAGACTGTGGAGGAGAAACTCCTCATTAACAGAGAGAAACCTCAAGAACCAGAGTCAGTGTGGAGACATCTGCCTCCACCGGGGGAGGAGAAAGACATGGGGAGGAGAGAGGGGGGGAAAGAGGGGAGAGAAGAGAGAGGGATAGTGGGGAGGGGGAAGTAGGGGAGAGGGGGGGCGAGAAAGACCGGGGACACTTGAGCACCATCAGGTTTCAGATCTGACTTGTTAAAATGTAAACAACAGTGTAAAGAATATTAATTATTATTGATAACGGACACATTTGATATCATAATGAATTACTGAGATACTGTAATTAGTAATAGTAAAAGTTGTTGTCCTGAGGTTCCGGGGTCAGAGATATCTAATAATTCTAACCTAATTCTAACTCCAACCCTAAACCCTAATTTTAACCCTAAAACCAAGTCTTAACCCTCAACCCTCTGAAAAAGCGAGGACCAGACAAAATGTCTGGTCTGTGCTTAAAATGGTCCTCACAAAGGTGCATCTGTGCGTTGTACAGGAACGCACACAGATAATCAATAATCTCTAACTGAGCTTTAAAAGCCTTCCATATGTTTTCAAATCAACATCATGATTAATCTGAGTGATTTCAACTTTTTATTTATTGCATAATTTTGCATAAAACAGAAAATTCAGAATTTTTATATGAAATATATTTTAATAGTTTGTTTTTATAAAAAGTATAGAAAATCCATTGTCTCTGAATTGTTTAGTTCTTATTCAATTATTTCTGACATTTTATATTTCCAATGATTTTATATTATTAGCATCAATAATGATTATATATTTTTCTTAAGGAACAAATAAAGTGTTTAATGAAACTGAACTAATATTTAAACAAAATAATTCACTTCAAATGTCAGTTCCAGGTAACCAAAGACACATTGAAATATATACAGAAATACAGAATCATGTTATGTATATATATATATATATATATATATATATATATATATATATATACTCTATCTGATATACTCTATCAAACATATCAAGACTTTAATTATTAACAATCAGTATTAACTCTGAATTAATTAAAAATAAAAAAATATTTTATTTTAGGTAAACTTTCATTCTTAATTTAAACAATTGTAATAAAAAAAAAAAGAATCACAGTAAAGGATTGAAGTTGGAGCTCTTACCTGAGCAGGTGAAAAAAACAGTCTGAGTGTACAAGCTGATCTCAGGTCAGTGTCCTGCAGAGCGACCAGTCGTCACAGCGACCTTTGAGACATTGATCGTGTGTTGGTCAACAGTCGGTTTCATTCCAGGAAACATGTGGACACAAACAACAGTGATGAACTCACCGTCAGGCCCATCACTGATCAATAACCAATACTGCTGCAGGACACACGGCTCACCAGCAGGGGCCAGAGCATCAGTCCAGTTATTTCATGAAACAGTTTAATCTTTATTTTAATTTATTTCAGACACCGATGTGGACGAGCTGTAAACAACAACACCGATCTTTCCTGCTCTACAGGCTCCACCCCTTGCCTGAACGTTCCCCACATGTTCCTGTTGTTGTGAACGAGTCGACAATCTGCTGCTGCACACACTGACTACACAACATTATATACAGTTCATGTAAACGAGTTTCATTTAAAAATTTTAATCTGAACTTTTGTCAAATGAAAGTGCGAAAATTTAACTTAAAGCTCCAGTATGTCACATTTAGGTGAAAGGATCTATTGTCAGAAATTTAATGTAGAATAATCCTCGTGATGTTTTCACTAGTTCGTTTCATCTAAATTAAATGAATTGTAGTTTTCTTTACCCCAGAAAATACTTTATATTTAAATACTTTATATTTACATGGAGGGGACCCTCTCTACGGAGGCAGCCATGTTTTTTACATTAGTCCAGACTGGACAAACTAAAACCTTTTGAGTTTTTATGACGACTGAAGCTGCCACAGGTTCTTCTTGTGTTTGGAAGGAGAGGGGAGGGGTGTTCAGCTGCAACATGACACTTCACCACTAGATGTCACTAAATTCTACACACTGAACCTTTAAAGCTTTGATAAACAGGAAGTCAGCAGATAAAATCATTCATGTGAATTTTATTTGTGGAATCAACAAAAACAAAAGTGCACAAACATTGACATAAAAATGATACAAACACACACACAAGGCAGATTTCCAGTTAAACCATAAAAAGACATTTTGTCTGATTTGCTGCTGAAGACTCAGTTATCCATTAAAACCAGTCTGACTCCGAATGCACCACAAGCCAGACTCCAGTTTAAACGAGAGCGTTTCCGTGGCGCCGCGTTAGAAGAGTTTGGGCAGCTGTCTCAGACGACTCAGGTCAAGGATATTTCCCACTGATCCCTCCGTCTGGCGCATGCTCGCCCTCATTAAAGATGGACACTTGCTGGAGCAGTTCTCCTTGTCTGCTCTGTTGGGCGTGGCGTTTCGGGCCAACAACTGCATCTTCGGCAGCAGGTCTCTGATTAGCTGGCTCTGGGGGAGGGGCTTCGCGTTCAGAGCTTCGGTCAGTGGCTGTCGAGTCGGCGCCTCCTGAACTTTGACTTCCTCCTGCTCTTCCTCGTCCTCCTCAATCAGGCCGTACTTCCTCATGTACTGCCTGGATCCCAAAGACATGTTGCTAGGCGACAGCAGGGAGTCAGTGGAGGAGGCTGGGACTGGACAAGGGGCGTGGCCTCCAAGAGACAACCTGCTGAGCTGAGAGTCGCTCAGGTAACGCAGAGCGATGGCGTTGGCCTCCAGACTCAGATCCACGCTGCCGCCTGGACACAGAGAGCTGACACTCAGATCAGACACGCTGAGTCTGGACACGACTGCTGCTGGGTTGATGCTCGCCAGAGTGCTGAAAACACACACACACACACACACACACACACACACACACAGTTAGTAAATGTGAGTGAATCAGAGGCTTCCTCCATACGACTGCGTTTTAAAACTTTCTCTGTCCACACAAGCGTTTTGGATCCGTATCGGTTTTAATCCGACGCTAATCCGACACTAACGCGCCTGAAAATACAAATGACCACTCACGTGCACTGGACATGCACGTGTAAACAGATCTCATCTCATTTAAACGGAAGGCGACTGTGTGTTTGGAGAATAAACTACATCACATTAGATACTGTTATGGAAAGTTGTTTAGCTCACTATCCTAGCTGTGTTAAGATTGATGCTACACTTGACTGTGTACGTTAATGTGAGTAACTTCAGCATCTATGTCATATTAGATTATTGTTTCAGAAATAACGTTAGCCAGCTGCTTCCGTGTGAAACTGGTTGAGCTGGACTTTGTTTTTGAGGCTCTACGGTAACGTAGGGTTGAATTCAAAAGTTTGATTGATAATATTACTACAACAAACAAAGATTATTATCCATGACACAAAAACATAACATGCCTCCATGATGCTCTTGTGGTGTCAGCCATGTGCCATATGTGTCCTTAAGCCCCGACATTCGAAACAAGGTAATTTACTCCAAGTTTTTTGCCTAAATATTGTCGATTAAAAAATATTATTCAGTTAAATTCTATATACTGGGAACATCACAGCTGTCTGAATTTAATAATCCTGCAGTTTTGGATGATTAAAATTCCAGGTGATAAAATGTGTTCCCTCACATTCAGATGATGAGAAACATTATTTTTGCCTCTGATCACTTTGTTATTTCAGACACTGTCAACATTCAGGTGTGCCTTTGCATGGTTTTATAAATCTGAATCTTTTTTTGCATACACCATTTGTGGCGTTTGTGCGCACATAGACTTTTAGTATGAATCCTATGACACTCTGTTCGTTAAATGAGGCCCCTGGTACTTACCTGACACTCTCCACATCTCGCACTCTGTTCCTGTCAGACTCCATCAGATCTTCTTTGTCTACATTCACTCCGAGCTGCTGCAGCTGCCGCAGAGTGGCGCTAACTACGGGGTCTGAACTCCGCTGCCTCCTACTGTACAGGGAGGAGACTAGAGACTCACTCCTCCTCCTGGACTCCACTTCCTGTCCATCGTCCGACTCCTGCAGACGACTGGTCAGCTGAGTCTGAGGTCATAACAAGAGGTTGTAAAGTCGTTTGTACAGTAACCCCCCCCCCCCATCAGAAGGTGTCCTGTTACCATCAGGTTTTTGTAGAAGCTCTGCTGCTCGTCTCTGCACATGTTCACACTGACGCCCACTGGACTCTGCAGACGACTGAACACACACACACACTCCTTCTTAAACACCTGTTTAAACAACAACCATCTTCACTAGTGTGAGCGTCTCACCTGTGTTGACCGGTAGGGGAGCAGGTAGACACCTGATGTGTGATGTCACAGGCCTCAGAACCACCCAAAGTCGCAGTGACGGAAAGGTCATGTGATGATGAATGTCTGCAGGAGGAGGGGCTGGGGGAGGAAGGAGAGGTGGGGGAGGAGGGGTGTGTGGCTTGTGTCTCCTGATGGGGCAGGGGCTGGACAGGGTCCGCCCAGAACAGACTGGCACCTGAAAACAGAGTGATGTCATCATCACACACAACTGTCAGTGAATACATCACTTTCTCTCACACACACTCACCCTAGGGCTCCACGATATTAGGAAACCCATCCATAGCCATAACGTTGTTTAAAAGTATAGTTCACCGAAAAATGAAACTTCACTCATTATCTACTCACCACTATGATGGAGGGGGGTGAAGTGTTTGAGTCCAGAAAACACTTATGGAGTTTTGTGGACTCACAACACGCCTCCATTCTGCTCCTGTGATGTCATCAAGTGTCCACAAGCCCTGACATTCAAATTCAACTGGAAACAAGGTCATTTACACCAAATTTAATCGGCCTTAATGTCCACTGGAAGTGGCTCAGCCATCGAACGTGATGGTGTCAGAAGTTCTGTAAACGCACCACGTAGGAAGATATCAGAGACATTAAGACTTAAACTGTAAATTACCTTGTTTCCAGTTGAATTTGAATGTCAGGGCTTGTGGACACTTGATGACATCACAGGAGCAGAATGGAGGCATGCTGTACTTTTTCTGTAGTTTTATTACGTCTGAAGTTTCAGTCACCATCAACTTTATTTGTGTTGGATTCTGCTCAAACAAAGTTTCCTTCTGAAACTCCAGGAGGGTTTTGTAGAGTCAAACACTTCACCCACCCTCCATCACAGTGGTGAAGAGCTAATGAGTGAATTTTCATTTTTCGGTCAACTATTCCTTTAATATCGCGAGGACGATATGACTATGAATAAATAAATATAAACAGTCCCTGGCTACGGACGCAGAGACCACGGACAGCTCCACAGCCGGGAGAAGGCTCACAGCCCGGCCGCACTGCCACCAGATCAAAGGCTGACACCAGGGAGCCATGCACAGCTCCACTGAGTCCACTTACATTGTTCATTTGGGATCTTTTCAAACATGCAAAAGTTTTGTTAAGCTGCAATGACTGCGTCAAACCAAATGGGGGAGGGAGAGAGAGAGAGAGAAAGCAGAGAATGCACAGCGCATGAAACACCATTTATTGCAGTTTTTGCAATAAGTATATCGCTCATGTTGATATCGCGATGAGATTTTCAGTATATCGTGCAGCCCGAACACACACACACACACACACACACACACACACACACACACACACACACACACNACACACACACACACACACACACACACACACACACCTGTCCCCACTGCGACGCTGGTCTTGCTCCTGGCCTCCTGAGTGTTGACGTGATGTTTCATCTGAGCCTCCAGGAGCATCTGAACCTACAGTTCAAGGACAACAGTGAGGACTTGAGTTACCATGACAACCACACAAACACACACCCTGGCACCAATCAGCAGCCTGGTCGGTGACGAGGTACGTTTGAAAATGACAGATAAAGATCTTGTTACCTGAGCCTGCAGGAGGCGCAGCTGTCGGTCTTGGTGGAGGAGGACCTGGTAGGTGTCTGATGGTACAACTCCGCCCACCTGATCACTGCAGTGATTTAAATAGGGGGGATGGGGGAGGCAGGGGGGAGGGGAGGAGACATGAGTAGGATGACTGCAGGGACCAGGAGGGGCAGGGGGGAGGAGGGGGGAGGGAGGCGACGAAGGGTGATGCAAGGGAGGGGGGAGAAGACCTCGGGTGGAGGAGGGGGGAGCAGGAGGTGTCATCGGCTGGTTTCTGAATGTGGGGGGAGGAGGAGCTGGGGAGGAGAGTATGGGGGTGGAGTTACAGGTGTAAGGGGAGTAGCAGGTGGAGGGCGGCTGCAGGTTAGAGTTGGGGGTGCTATGGAGGTGAAGAGGGGGAGGTCTGGGAGCTTGGGAGGAAGAGGGAGGGGTGCTTCCTTTCGGAGTAGCAGACTTCCTGTCAGCCGAGGAATGAGGAAGAGATCTGTGGGTGGAGCCAGGATCCTGCCAGGTGAAGCTGCTGTCAATCAGCAGAGAGAGTTCAGGGACAGACGGCTGAACTCTACGACTCTGTAACACAAGATGGCAGCGTTTGTATCCCAGATATTTAATTTGTGTACAATGTGAGGAAGTGGAGACGTCTCTGATTATCTTTATATACAGTCAGTGATTAACTTTATATACAGTCACTGATGGTCTTTATATACGTCCTCAGTATCGTGACCTTGCAGTGATGTGGTGATGGTCTGTTGACTGTCTCATTAGCATCATTAGCAGGTAGCCTCCTGACAGCCCTGGGCTGCGACTCACCTGCTGAGCGGGGGCATGAGGACTTGGGGACGGTCGTGGAGAAAGGTCTTCGTCTTCGACTCCAGAGTCCTGATCAGTGACGGTGACAACAGCAGCTGATGGGGGGACGCTGGGGGGGGGGTGGATTTTGGGCTCAGTAAAAACTCCTCTACGTCAGTAAAGTTCAGAAAGTGGGACTGTCCCTTTAAACCTGGTACCTGTTGAAGGAGCTTTGAGCCACTCTGAACGTCTCTGTCTGTCTGTGATCGTCTGAAGACAGCTCACACTGCAGAGACTGACCGTCCACCGACGCAATCTGCTGGACACACAGCTCATCATCAGCCCCACTCAGAATCAATTCATCAATAAGTTCAGCTGCAGATGTCCACATAGTGTCAGATGAGTGGTTACCTGGTAGAGTGTGACAGACTGGGAGGCGGTGAGTAACTCACAGTCCAGCTGGAGTCCAGGTCCTGGTCCTCGACACTGGAAGAACTGTGGAGCTCTATGAGTGGTAGCGAACAGAACGAGCAGGAAACAGCCACTCTCTGACAGAACTCTGAAACACATTTGAGAGTTGCTTGCTCACAATTCAACATCATCAGTACACAACGTTGGTCTCCACAGACATCTTCTGCCCCTCACCTTTCCTGCAGGGCGGTGCTGAACAGGAACCTCAGACACCACAACATCACTTGAGGGTTATAGATGTGTGTGACTCCACTCAGCCAGCTTTCACAGACACACAAAAGAACCTCTCTTAGTAAATCTCTGCCAACAGTCTTCAATTCAATCTGCACCACACTCAGGAATTCAGTCCCCTAATATGTCTGAGCTTTTTCATCCTGAATTTTTCTCTTAACGGAAATGTTGAAAAAGTGAAAACAGATGTGGGTGAAAGACACTTTGATGAGGGAAACAACAACAGTACAACTGAAGAACAAAACATCCACGACATTAGAAAAAAGAAAATTATTTGCTCCATTTACAAATCACCACGAGTTCTGTAACTTTTGAAATTCGAACATTCATCGAACATGTTGGGGGGGTGTCAGATTAGTTTGAAAAATGTAATGTTGTGCATTTATTAATCTTTTAGAGTTATTGTTTCCAGGTCATCATGATGAGACCAGGAACAGTTGTGCAGACTTTACACAACTGAATGTATGGCATACATATATCATTCATGCTTAGCAGCTAGCCTGCTAACAAAGACAGGTAAAGTGAGAGCGAAGGATGACATTTTCTAGCTGGACGGTTGACTAATCCCAGAGAACAATCAGACTCACAGTCCGACCAGCGGCAGGTTGGCGGCTTTGGGATCAGACTCCAGTAGAAGCAGCAGCTTCCTGGTTTGATCCATGGTCAGAAACCTGCGAACACACACATGGTTCAGTGTCAGTAAAAACACACAGTGTGACTCATATCAGTGACGGTCACATGATCTCACCCTCTCTGGCAGTTGGTGGAGTGCTGCAGCGTTCGTCCAACACCAATCAGACTCCTCAGCAGAGCAGTGGGGATGATGGGAATGGCTCGGACCGGCTGGACTTCCACTCTGACGGATGGACAGATGGCCGACCAGCTGAGACTGAACGCCATAGCGTCAGACTGCTGACAGCAGACCACACGACCTCTGACCTTTATCAGCTGAGACAAATCCAGAGTCTGTCTGCTGCTCACAAACTGCTGCAGAGCCTGTCAACACACAGAGTTCATTTAGACAAATGAGACGATGCAACACCTGCCTCAGTTCAACATACATGACATTGACATCATCACTCAGAAGAACTCATCCCCCCTTCAGGAAACCAATTCAATTCACTCGATCCTCAAATCACACACACTAATAAATGTCTGTCTGTTTGTTTTCATCATGATTTATTCTCTAAGGGTGGAACATGGGTCAGAGAAGAAGTAATTATATTTTGATGTTGATCTGGAAAAAGGGGCAGATCCCAGACCAGCAGATCCAGGGAGACGTTCACATCAGCAGTGTTAAGGCGGTTGAGGCGCTGACTGATGACCTCAGAGCTTTTACCTTGAAGCTGTGATGAATCTCAGCCTCTGATTGGATAACGGTGACAGGTGACGTCTCAGTCTGAGTGGAAAATAAACAAGGAACAAGGATGTCTCCAGGAAGCAGAGCAGTGGGGACCCTGGCTGATGATCCAACCTGGTCCCGACCGGGATCGAAGCGGTCCAGATTCACAGTGACCCCCTCCTCATCTGGACCCAGGAGCACAAACAGCAGAGAACAGGAGTGAATATGAGCCAGGTGAGTTTGACCAATCAGAGCTCAGGATAACAAGCAGGTGACCTCTGACCTGAGTCCACACACACTGATCCCAAGAAGAAACAGTGGAGGCAGGGCTTGTTACTGTGACGGACGTGGCGCTGAGCCAGTCGCAAAGCTTTCTCCAACAGCACCACACGAGGCTTCCTACACAAAGACACACACACAATGCACAATCTTATCTAACACTGACATTAAAACGAAGTCTACTGAATCAATCCATCGATCACTGGTCTGAGGGTCTGATGGTCTGAGGTCTGAGGGTCTGATGGTCTGAGGTCTGATGGTCTGAGGGTCTGAGGGGTCTGATGGGTCTGAGGGGTCTGAGGGGTCTGATGGTCTTTGGGGTCTGAGGGTCTGATGGTCTGATGGTCTGAGGGTCTGATGGTCTGAGGGTCTGAGGGTCTGATGGTCTGATAGTCTGAGGGTCTGATGGTCTGATGGTCTGA